CAATTAGGTCATGGTAAGTACATGTCACTTTGGATTCTAGTAGATTCTAGATCTAGCCTGTATAAATAACTATTTTATTATTTTAGGAGAGAGTTATAATAATTCTGCTACTAGTTTTTACTTTGGATTAATGAGAAGCAGTGGATATCTTACAATTTCGACTTTGTCTCCTCTCAATGTCACATATAACATCACTATTGAATCGTTCAATTATACTCGAAATGGAACAGTAACAAAGAATAGACCAGATCCATATGTATATCTTTCTTGGCGCTTCCGTACACATTCCAATTCTTTTGCAGATCGATTTAAGGGAATTCATTTGACTAGTGATCAACCAATAAGTGTATCATTTTTCGATTATTACACTGAGTATCTCATTTTACCATATCATGAGTACCCAGGGGTTAGTCAGTATGAATATTATGCTGTTTCAACTAGTAGTTATTATAACCATACTCTTAGTCAAGTTCTTCTAGTTGGTTGTATTAATAATACTGTCATTAGTATTATACCAACAGTTGATCTCTTCATTCCTATTGATGTACAAAAGAATGGGAGTGATGATATATTAGTAACTAAAGGTAACTCTCATACTATTACACTACATGAGGGACAGACGCTATTGCTGGGTAAAGGGAATGGAAGTGATATATCAGGAACACACATTATTTCTAATAAACCACTGACTGTTATTACTGGTCATGATTGTGGCGGTACTCCTTATATGATAGAACGCTTTTACTGTAATGAGATGCAGTTGCAAGTTCCTCCAACAATAATTTGGGGTAAAAGATTCATTCTGACACACTTTATTAATCTAAGTGACAGATCACTATATTCTTCTTATATAAAGACAGTCACTTCACAAACCAATACTAGTATAACAATATACTGTAATGGAACCACTAACACTACAAGATACTCTACTAATGGTGCAGTTGGTTCATATGAGTATAACATAACTAAATATTGTTTCATGGAGGCTGATAAACCAATATTTGTCGTCCTGTTCCCTCACTCATATTTCTATTATGCAACTATGGTATTGATACCACCAATGGAACAATATCTACAAAAAATTGAGTTCGATCATACTGGATATTTTTTTTCCCGTTATTTTAAGCTTGTTATTACAGCATCAGTTGAAGGATTTTCTCCAACAGCTATTCTACATAATGGACTAGCAACATTAAACTGGACAGCAATATATGATTCTAAAAGGAATATTGTAGCATACGGAACTGAAATTGAATCTAATAGATATTTTAGTAATCATTCAGTAGTTCATACTGGTATAAATGGAAAATTATCAGTTCAAGTCCAGGAGTATGACTACATATTTGGAATTCATGGACGACCAGCAGTAATTTCATTAGTACCAAGTAAGTATTCAGACATGTTATTACTTTAAATGAATGTACATGCATTTTTGTTAGATGTGATTCCAGTTTGCAATTTTTCTTGTGGTAATGGTATATGTGTTGCTGATAACTTTGTCAATGTTTTGATGGTTGGACTGGAGATCAGTGTGATGAAGGTATGGATCAACTATATACATGAATTGTATTGCAGTAGATCTGGATCTATTACATTAAATTAATTTGTCTAGCATTATGTAGTCCAGTATGTGGTAATGGATATTGTGTACCAACTAACAGTTGTGTATGTAATCCTGGCTGGACTGGAGACAGGTGTAGAACTGGTTAGTTTACCCAATTATATGTATGATCCTACTTACTTGTATGAACAGATACTAATGAATGTAGTCTTGATGTGTGTAATCAAATATGTATAAACACTCAAGGATCATATACTTGTGAGTGTAACCTTGGATATCAGTTTATAAATGACAATTCAACTTGTGAAGGTAAAATAATTAAATACATTGTTACTTGAACTTTTAACATGATGTACCTGTTTACACAGATATTAATGAATGTGAGACTGTTGATCACAATTGTACACAAACTTGCAGTAATACAGTTGGATCATACACCTGTTCTTGTAGAGCTGGATATAAAGATAATGGATATGGAAACTGTACTGGTAAGAGTATAAGTTATACTTTGTAATGAAAAAATGCTAAAAGAAGCCTTTGTTCAGCCATATTTTGTATTCTTTGTCGACCAATTGTAATAACCAAAAGGCAGTCCTTTTAGAATTAGATTTTTAAGACTAATAGTAAACATGTTATGTGACTCCTTTGTAGTATCGCCACTTACCCACAATCTAATTACTGTTGTCTTTGTAGTGTTGTTACTCAACATTCCTTTCCCATACATGTACATACAGATATTGATGAATGTTCAATGGGTACCAGTGGCTGTCAACAACTCTGTTTTAACACTAATGGAAGCTATTACTGTCAATGTAATACTGGATACAAACTAATGAATGATAATTCATCTTGTGATGGTATGTACAGTTACTGTATATTGTGTGTATTGTGATACAATCTTCATTTAGATATTAATGAATGCATTGAGGATCCTGGAGTATGTCCTTTAAGAAGTACCTGTAT